TTACTAGACTTGGCAATCAGGAGGTGATTCTGTCACCAGGGTGACCAAGTGAGGGAAGTAGTGAAGACAGAGGCTGGACTCAAGAATTTCACAGGGGTAAAATAAGATGAACCGTCTAGGCATAGACTAATAGAAGTTTGAAAAACACACGGGGGATAAGTACTAAAAAGACTAATTTTATGACTTTTGTAAGTGAAACACATGTTCAGTTTTTTTTTTAATTAAAAGAAGCATTTCATTACAACAGCATTAACCTATTCAATAACATTTTTCTGAGCTAGGATACATCTCTTTCAAAATTGGCTGTACATTTCTAGTTTTGCAGATGATTTATTATGCTTATATAATCTTTTACTCATTATAAACTCTATAAGACATAAAATTAAATGAGGTTCCAACGTTTAAAAAAGATCTCCACTTCGTTGTCAATTTTTTAAAGCTATTCAGGTTAGATCATGTTGACAAGGCTGCTACAAGAAATGAGTAAACTGAGAGGAGGACGTGGGAACCTGAGGAAAGGGTGTAGCTACAGAATGAGTTCGGAGGACCGCAGGACCACTGGCATTGAGGAAATGGGTCCCGTTACACAGGAAAGAAGCATGTGGAAATAAAAGACAATGAGGAGAGGTATGAAAGTCTTTAGGTGGTAGAAGGTAGGGAACATAACAAGAGATACATCCCCTAAAAAGTAGACTAGACCACAAAATCACCAGCTATGAAAGAATTACAGGTTACAAAAGAACCCAGAGGAGGTCTGGAAGGAAAGAAAAAGACCCAGGGTCGGTCAGGGCCAAAGTAGACTGACAAATGACCACTGATGGAAGGAACGCGTTAAAAACCCTCTTCGAAATAATTTTTCATATAAAAATTTATTTTCTAATTGGATTTATGAGTTAAAATTTGACTCAGAAGTGATTTAAAGAGTAAATCAGGTTATATTTCCCTTGTTTTCTTACAAAAGCTGTTTTCAAATTGAGGTTAAGTATACAATGACATTAACAGGTTAAAGCAAGTGCTATGAATATTATATTTGTATAATGTCTGCTTCTTATATTTATAGAAATTACTGCTTATATTAGTTCAAGCATAATTTTTGCATCAAAATAACTATGCCTGATAAACTATTACACTTCCTGTTTCACATACAAAGAAAAGTCAGTATTAGAGAGAAAAACAAATGGTATATCCCCTTATGTCACACCTGGGAGGTTGTCAATACTCAACCAGAAGTGATTCGCATGTGCAAATAGATCTTTTTCACCACTTCATGAATTTCTTTCAATGCAGACCAAAGATAACAGGAATTTAATCTATGCCTAGATTTGGTTTTTATTTAAGATTATCCTGAATCTACAAAGAGCGGGGAAAGATATTATATCATCAAGAGAAAAAAATTCAACTTAGTCATGTGACTGCATCACAGAAAATGACTTTATAAATAACATCAATAAGTTCCATGACTCAAGTCCTTGTCAAGTTCTGTGGAAAATACTTAAGGGATAAAGTCTGTATCTTATAATGATCCTTATTGACAATTTAAATGTAGTTAAGTCATTACAAGTTAGTATTCATGGCAAATGTAAGTCTCTGGTTTTCTTTTCATTTTTAAAAAAAAAATCTTAAAGATCTGAAAAGGGAAGGCCAATGCTAGATGCAAGATCAAGGTTTTCATGCAAATTTGAAAATAGTACTTACATTATTTCAGAAACCACTTGAACTTTTGAAATATTTGACAATATTTGATTTCATTACTCCACAAGTTTGCCGAAACAGTTGTTAATCTATCGATATTTGTGAAGTACACAGGTTTAGAAAGGCTTTCCCAAAACACTCTGAGTTAAATATATTAATACATCTGAAAGTCTGGAATCATCATGATTGGATCTATAAATGTGAATCTGTCAGCCAACATGTTCAACTGAAAACAAGAGTATGTTCACACACTTTCAATTCTGGCCAAGACTTGAAAATATTTCAATATATTTCAGAACATAAATCTATCTCCACTGCCCCAAATAATGCACATACCTCAAATTACATTATGGTCTAATAAATATATTATTAATCATTAAACTAGGAAGGATTAAAAAAGCTTTAAAAATGTGCATGCAGTCATTGCTTTTTATGTTCCGAAAAGAAAAACATAATGCGTTCAAATCAGTAGGAGTCTGAAACCCTGATGAGAAATGTGGAGCATATAGATCTTCCTGTCCCACCGTTTAATCTGAGAGACAAGAAGACTGGGCCCAAAGAAGAAAAGCTCACAAAATCCAGGTTAAATAAACATGGGATTAAAATGCAGGTATCTAGATCCATGGTTTCTTACATTTCTCAAGAGCAGCACAGATATAAATAACCTCATGTAACTTCAAGAAGCAAGCAAATTTTGAACATAAGCAGAACCTTAAGAATCAAGCTGAGTTTGCTGTTATTATATTCAAGGCCTCTTCCATAACAAATGGCTAACTAAATAAAGTTAAAATTAAAGTAAGAAATGTTAAAACTAATCAATCGTGTTACAAAAACTCTTACAGTGAATTATTCAAGATCTATTATAAATCACAAATGTATAAAATATGTGCTTTTAATGTTTTTTCCAGAATCATGACTACTGAAAACACGAAACAAAAAAATATGAAATAAAATACAACACAAAAACCAAAATAACCAACAAAGTAATTTAAACCCAGAGTCTTTGATTTGAAATGAAGCAGGAACAAATGGGCATTGATTTGTATCTATCACCAATCATAAAACAAGTCACTGTGAGAACTTACTGGTTTTTATCATTGCTTTTATATGTATTAGCTTCTAGAAACTCATTCCAAAGAACAGAATCATCAGTATCATTTCTACCACTTCCTCAGTCTTGAGGCTGACTGCACAGAACTGACTGAAATGTACTTCTGTGTGCACCTTCCTTCCAAATGAATATCTATGTCAGGTTTATTTATAGCCACTGCCTTCAATCAGTACACTTCCACATCTGAGAAATAAAATCTCTGTGGAGGTCCTAGAAACCTTGGCAAATAGCTTTTGAAAAGATAATGAAAAACTCCATAACATAACATATACATTATGATTCACTGAGAATCCAAAGCAGATTCACCATTCACTCTTTAATGAGCACATACCAAGAGCCCGGGTGCAATTACAGAAGTAATTTACTCCCTATGCATCTTTTTGGGTAACTGTGTACGCTAAGATCGCTATCACCACCCCCTCTGTTCATTAGGATTTCTCTAAAATTTAGCCACCTTCTTTGTTTCTTACTGCTATGCTTTTCTCTGTTTGGGGATTCCCCCCCCCCCCCTAATTCTTTACAAAAGTAGGGCAGGCTTCCCCCTGCTGGGCAAAGATTAAATTACAAGGTACATTAGAACAATTTCCTAATTATCAAGAAATCAAGTTCCTGGGAAAGAGAAAGGTTAAGAAAGTAGGTATCTGTAAGTGTTTCTCTAGTCAGGAATGTGCATGTATTGTTCTCTGTTACACCGTCATCTACATCTCTTAGTTTCTTCAGTTTTGAAAGTACAGTCACACACATTAATGACTGATGAATTAATCACTGTCCCAAAGAGAATTCCAATTGTCAGGTCAGAGAAAAGTATCCATTTGTAATCCTTCTCATTTTAAAAACATTGTACAGTAGATGAAAACACTTATTAAGCCATTCTTTCTTTCTCAATAGTTCTATCACTGTAATGTAGCTGTCCTTAAAAAGTAGGGGAAGAATGTATGTCTTTATTTCACATTAGTTTTTCACTTTCGTTTCTATTTTTTTATTCACTAATTAGGAAAGTAGAAAGCATTATTGAATTTTGCACCCCAATTAGTCTACAAAATCAGTCCTTCTCTTGAAATCAGTTTAGTTATTTCACATCTTCCATATTCTGATTATAATTTTTTTCTCATGGACTTTAATGAAAACACTTTGTGATTATAAATTATTGTAAATAACATCGCATCAATAAAACGCTAAACTAAATCTAATGTCGACAACTCATTGAGAAATGGGATTTTCAGTTCATGTATAGCTAAGTCTCAAAATTATTTGACTGCTGAGGAACTGGCATAGAGGAAGTTGTCACTTCTAGCTTTGTTGTAGGTAAGATCTCACTAACCCTCACTACAAAACTGCACTGTGGCCAGTTTGTTGATGAAGCAATTCATTATTAATGAAGCATTCATCCAAAAACACTGCAGTTGTTTTAAGAAGGAATGTGTAGATTACTAGGTATGGTGTATCGTTAGTAGTTAGCATTATTTCAACAAAAATGTAATAATTTAGGTTAATGTTTGGAAAGAAGTTTTCGTGTGTGCCTTTTTGTCACGACCTTTCAAATCAATGCAAAAGGTAAGACATATCTGTTTCTCTGGGAATGGAATCTTTTAAGATTACAGGTGCACAAAAGAAAACACACACTTAGTAGAACAGTTGATCAATTATGGAGTGTTCCTAGGGACCAATAGCTCACAGAGTACCCAATCATCACGCTTCAAGTACATCATAAACACTTTAGTCTCTGCTTAGCACGTTCACATAAATACACGAACATTCATACTTTAATGTGGATTAATTCTAAGACTTTCCACAAGAAAGGCTGATTAAAGGGTATCAAAATTACTTCCAAATCCATACGAAAACAAAAATGCTGATCTGGGACTACGAAGCTCTCAGAAGACTACCAGGATCAGAATTTACTTCTGGACTGATTTCCTTGGTCCCTGTAGACCATGTTACACTTTATGGTTTCCCTTATCCTGGACCTTAGCAGGTGACACCCGCCCTGCTATTAGACCTCAGAGCTTTGGTCTTCCCTGAATTCAGTCACAGAGGCGCCCAGCCGATGCCCCAGCCCTGGCTGCGCTCCTGGGCTCCAAAGCAGCATCTCGCGGACTGTCCCTGCGAAGGGGAGCACAGCACCCTCCCCAACTTCGCCCTGATGGAGCTGGCGAGATGGACCAGACGGGCAGGGCTCCCGGGGACCAGGTCCTACCTTCCGCCAGAAGGCGCGATGCGTGCACAAAAGATGGATCCAGGCTATCTTTCTCTGCCATCAGCTCAGGCAAATATTTCTCCTCTTCCATAGCGCGGACTTCGGACCGTCCGCGGCGAGGCGCGCGTGGCGCTGGCTGGGACGCAGCGGGCCGCTGGCTCCGCGGGGACGTCCTCACCGGCCGGCTGCAGCGCCGCTCTAGCGCCGTCGGGCTGCGCGGCCCGCGCCCGCACCTGCAGCTCCCCGCGCCCCTAGTTCCAGCCGGGCTCCGGCCGCGGCCTTAACGGGAGGGGCGGGTCCGCGCGGTCCGCCCCCGCCAGCCTCCCATTGGACACTGAGTCCTGAGGGCGGGGCGTCCTCGGAGGCGGCGGGCGGTCATTGGGCGGGGCCGCACGTCTGGCAGCCTGAATGGCAGGAAGCCGCTGCAGAGGGGAGGGCAGCCCCGATGTGCCAGCGCTGTCTTCTGGCAACCCGGCCTTGCCTGGTTATTAGGCATGCTCAGTGCTGTGGAGCTGTTTGTGGTCTGCCGAGGTGCGGAGGGCAGAGAGAGCGGGAAGAGCACCCACACAGAGGCAGTGGTGCAAGAACGCACGCCAGAGGGGCTGAGGGAGCCGCGGAGGGAAAGTCTCAAGCTGGAAGGTGGTGGACTTTACCTGCGTCCCTGAGGCACAGGTGTCTCTCCCTCCGCGGTTCCCAGGCTCTCGCGCTGGGCTGAAATCCACAGCGCACAGGAGCTGAAAATACAGCGAATGTGATCCGTGACTGATGTCTCCCACGACCTACACTCGGGAAGCAGGGGTGGCTGTTCACTGATAAACAAATGAAGAGGCTCTGAAAAGATTTTGTTTTACAGAAATACACTTTCCGTGTACATCATCGCGGTATTGAATTAGGTCTAGGTATCCACCCATCCCTATGGCGGGGTCGGGGACTGAACTGAAAGATTAATAACTCAGTGTGTCAACTTAGTGGGAAGAACGGTGAGCGAAAGAAACTAGATGAGAGATAACACAGGTCTCTGATTTTAGAGTGACAGGCTCTTTCACATTCTTGGGTAATGTTGTTGAGCTACTTTATATCTGTCCTACCTCTATGCAAGTGAGCCTTAAACCCTCGTAGTGTCCCTAACAATGGGAGGAAAGCCCACCATCCTTCTCTTACAGAAGGGGCCGAGAAATGCGACTTGCCTACTTCAAATGAACAACATTCTTTCCTTGGTTTGGGGCTGTCTTCATAAGCACTTGTTTTCCTGTTCTCCTTTTAGTTTATATTAAGGGAGGGGCCAACTTTCCTACCTGTAAAAAAGATACTGAAAATTTTGTAAGTTCTCTTACTATATCCAATTTTTTTCCTTATTTATTCATTTTAGATGAAGTTGAGACATCATACTGAATTTGTGTAACTCTTAAAAATTTTAAATGGTTCTTATTCTTTATTTCACTCTTGTCTCTGAAAAGCACCATCAGAAACATGGGCAAAGGATCACCTTCTCTGTTTTATATTGTGGAAAATGAGGCAAACAATTTCAGCTTCATATTTAGTTATGCTAAAATAGACATGAAAATTCAACTTTGTATAGTACCATTAAACTTCAGATGGCAGTGCATATCACACTGTCTTGTATATTAAATATTTAAATGTGTTCATTTACTCAATTAACATTTATAGATATTGAAAAGGGCCTAGGTACTGTACTTAAAAATAGAGAAACATTGTCAGAAAGAGGAAAGTATTGTATTTCTTCTGGTGTTGGAGAAGGTTTCTAATGAGGTATGACAAATTAAGTATACATGAAAAATGGTCATGGTGTTGCTTGTGATAAAAGCTGAAAGGAAACCAATCAAAGTATTAAAACACAATACAGGGGAAGACATGAGATATCAGAAAGAGAGAGGAGAGAGAGGGGGGAGAGAGAGGGAGAGTAGTTCCAGCCGGGAGAGAGAGAGAGAGAGAGATAGAGAGAGAGAGAGAGAGGTGTTTTTTAAGGAACTGACATAAGGAGCCAGCTGTGTAAAATGTGCAGAGAAAGACAATCCAGGCTGGAGAGCTTGTCCACCCAAAACCCTCTGTGACAAGCAAGTACAGGACCTCTACGTGGAATCAAATGGTATAGGTCAATGTGACTACTGTGATCTGTGTACAAATGCAACAGATAAGGGTAGGATCACCCAGAACATGGTGAATGGAAAATAATTTGAATTTCAATTGAAATGCAATGTGGACCTTACTGTATTATCATGTTTCTGTTTAGAATACTTCTCAGAAGATCTCTCCTGGAAGACCTCTCTGAGCCTACTTTTTCTGACAGTGTTGAGGATGGTTAGCACCTGGTTTCCAGGAGACATGAAGAGGGAAAGCATGCTGCCAGTCTTCTGAAGAGTAGTCAGGTCCTGCCACAGTAGTGGTTAGATAACATGTCAACTTTAACTAGCAAATTATAGGAGTATTATAATGAGTTACAAAATTTAAAATATTGCACAACAGTTGAAACCACATATGGCTTTTAGGGTACCAAAATGTTAAAAGAATATTGTTCTGTGAAGCCATCTATAAATGCAGTTTATGAATTGAAAGGATACAGTTATGATTTATGATGTCCAGCAACAGCAATTTTATTATCCATGGGATCTTAACATTATTAAATCAGCACTAAGAAAATTTCCAAGTGTGGACTTTATTATGCAATGTCTCTGTGGAAACCAAGTTGATTATAAAAATGGGAAGGTGCCTCACTTTGTCAAGAATAACATTTGCTATTTGTTCTTAATTCCGATTAATTCTTATTGAAGATTTAAAATTCATTTTAATGGAAATAATAGAATATGAGCATTAATCCTAATCTTTGGGGTGGTTTGAATTTAGTTCAGGATGCACATCATAAAATAAACCTATGTATGCTATATTGGCCCTTAAAAATCCTTTTTTTTTCAGAAATGACTTAAAAATATTGCCTAAACAGAAGCTAGGCAAGGAGAGGCAAGTCCCAAGTCTCCTGCATACCTGGACTCATCCATGCTCAGACCCACATGTTTCTAGTAGATGACCTCACATCATCATGTTTTTTTCCATGGTTCACATATAGATTCTTGAGGCCACCAAAACTGTATATTAAATATTTCAAGAGAAATTGTACTTATGTGAATATTTTATAAACACAAATGTAAATATATTGATAACTTACAAATTAATGATTATGCCATGAGTATTTTGTGGTTATACATGAATAAATTATAACTACTCATAACCCTACCACTTTTGATGCCATGAAGTACCCAGATCATTGCTTGATTTTAAACATGAGTTTAAACATGAGTTTAAAATAAGGTTTTACATACTTATTATTTAAAAAATGGCATATTATGAAAAAAATACTCCCAACATAATTTGGATCCAAAGGATGCATAATGCATGCATTATAGAATATATTCTGCAACTGATGCAAAAAATATGTATCCAATACTCATATATCCTGTGAAAAAAAGACAATATCAAAAAAATTTAATCAGATTGATCTTTTTACACTAACAAAAATGACACATTATGCATCATTAAAGCACAGCATTTGCATGTCTTTCATTGTCCTTACCAACTTTAAGAATAACGCATTTGCATACGTTACTTGTTTAAGGATTCAGTACAACTCACTCCCAATAATAATCATTGATTAAGGATGAAGGGATGTATCAGCAGTTAAGAGGGCTTCCATCACATCATGACGACTAGATTTCAGATCTTAGCACCCACAGGAAAAGTCAGGTGTCCCTGAAAATGCCTGTAACCCCATCTCTAAAGTAGGCAGATATAAAGAGACTCACTGTGGCTTAATGGCCTCCAGCCTAGCTGAGAAAATATGAGCCAAGTGTCCAGGGAGAGACCCTGCATCAAAAGAGCAGGTGGAGAATGATGGAGGATATAGGCATTCTTCTGGCCTCCATTTGCTCACAGATGTTCACGACTTCACACATTCCATAACTATATGCTAGCATAGAAACATACAAACAGGAAGAAAGAAAGAAAGAAAGAAAGAAAGAAAGAAAGAAAGAAAGAAAGAAAGAAAGAGAGAATCATTGATTAACAAATTTGTCACCATTTAGCACTTTGTACAATGATGAAGATTGCCAGTCTCCATTTGCATACATAATATTGATTTAACATTCTTCAAAAAATATTTTATTGAATCTTTGTGTATTTTGTACAGAACATCTCAAACAGCCTTAATCATCTTTATGATTGATCCCCACTGGAAATCTCCCATACCCCACCTCTGAAATTTATACATTCTTTCTTTTGTGTTAAGGTCTATCCTATCATGCCAAGGTAGTGTCCCCAGACATTCCCCTGCGCAAGTTCATCTATTAAGGTTTCATCAGCCTATGTAAAGTACCTCGCTTTAGGAAGATCAGCTCTTCCTCGTCCAGCAGTAATCAGTTGCCAATATTTTTCAGCTGTCCATTTCCTCAATTATATTCTGGGTTTTTGTCTGCTTGAGTTTGTGTGGGTCTTATGCATCCTGACAGCATTGCTATAGGTTCATATGAGCAAGGTCCCAGGAGCTTGTAGGACTCTAATTCTGTATGGTCATCCATCTGCTCCCAGGCTCTTACAAATGTTCTGCCCCTTCTTCCCCAATGGTTCCTGATCCCTGAGTGGGTGAAGTTTTAATATAAGAGTCCTTTCCAAGGACTAGCATTCTGCAAACTCTTAACCTCTATGCTTTGGCCATTTGTGACCTTTTGTGTTCCTGGCTTTCTGTTGCAAGAGGGAGCTTCATTAAGGAGAACTGAGATATTCATTAGTGTCCTCTATCATCTAGTAGAAATAAGATTTAGATATTAATGGATTCATTTTCATGTTCTGAATGTGCTATTTTATATCATTGCTTAAAGAGTCCTAATGTGCTACTCAGTTTATTATAGTTTCATTAAATATACAAATTAAATCAGTTTATTTCTCTTATAAACTTCCACAGTATACTTCAGGGTTATAAAAAAAAAAGCAGAGTGTGGGGCTGGTGAGATGGCTTAGCAGTTAGGAACACTGGGTGTTCTTGCAGAAGACTCAGGTTTGAATCCCAGCACCACATGGCAGCTAACAACTGTCTGTAAACTCCACTCCCAGGGAATCCAACAGCCTCTTCTGTCCTCTATGGGCATTGTATGACATGGGTGCACTTACCTACATGCAGGCAATACACACATACACATAAAAGTAATAAATAAAACATTTATAAAAAATAAATAAGTAAAATAAAAAAAAAAGAGTGTAGGTCCTCTGGCAAGATGACTCAGCAGATATATTTCCTGCCAACGCCTGATGTCGTATCTCCAGAACCCTCTGACCTACACATTTGCACCACAGCATTAACATGCCCACATTCACAAGCGCACACAATAATAATAAGTAAAAGGAAATCCTTTTCCAAATGGGAATAGGGAGTGGTGGTTTGGCTCACATCAATAGCACATACAGTAAAAAGGCTCTCAACTATAATGTGCTTAGAACCAAAATTTGCTTATGCTAATATGTCACAGTAAAACTTAATATTCACTGCTTATAGCTTAACTCTGTGTGTGTGTGTGTGTGTGTGTGTGTGTTTGTGTTGCCATGGCCTATATAAGCAGAAATGAGTGTATAATTTAAGCACTGCAGAAGAGAAAGCTGGCATCTGAGGGCTGGCTACTGTGGTGGAACACTGTTACAATTAGGCCCACAACTTGTAGAGAAAGAACAATGAAGAAACAACACTAAATTTAAAGTGGCCCCGCAACCACTGTACTTTAAGGTGTATCTCTGGACAGTTACTATACATTGCATATTGCATTTGGCTCTGA